GCTGCGGGGGGTAATTTAACAATTTTAAGCGCCCAGACCCCCTTCGCGTGCTCGCAACTTGGCGCCCGGTTAGACCCCCTGCTTACAACTCCCGTGCACGCGCCTGCGTAGCACATTGCCCCTTGCCAACGAACGCCCCCCCCCCAATCTAAAGCTGGCTACGGGCCTGGGCGTGTCCACGCAAACCCTTATAGTTTCATTATACGCTTTTTCCAGGGGAATCACGTCATTGTTCGATAGGTGAATCAGCTTGTTTAACAGCATCTACTCGTTCACGTAGTGACTAGACGTCTGCAGCGTATCCGCGCGACACGGCGAACGCACCACCTAGTGGTGCCACTAGAGACAACTCGCTGCCCCTATATTTCGAATACTTTCACGAGGCATTCTTGTATAGATTTTGTTCAAGCCGCTCTCGTGAATTGGCAGTTCTGGCCCTGCAGAAGCCTTTTCGGTCTATACACGTAGGGCGGCCTCTCGCCTGGTGGTATTTCGTCCTTTGTTTTTGGGTTTGCGCGCTTTCGTTTTTTTCTATAACGCGCTTCTACTAGTTCTTTTTCTTTCACGGCCTTCTGCCGGTTATTCTCGTCCCTATCGGCGCCCATAGCTCGCGCACGAGGCTCTCTTCGGCCTTTTCGGGCCCGAACTTTCCTGCGACTGCCCGCGGTCCGCGTTCAGCCCGCTCCCCTAACTATAACTTTAGTGTCGCGACACCGACTTGGCCCGCATTAAGGTCCGTCCCAGTCTCACGCGAATGGTGACGTCGCGTTTCATTCTCGTAGCGCATGTTCGCTTTGCCTTATGACCTGTTGACCCGCGCTCGGCATCTCCTCTCAGACTCTAGCCGTTTTGCCGTTTTTGCCTATTCCAGGCCACTGGCCGGAAGATCGCCCGCACGTACCAGCCCCCCGGATCATCACGTTCGTTCGCAACGGGGCGGGGGGGGGGGGTGGGGGGTGAGCCCTAGGCGCATAGCGACCGTGTCCAGATGGGCGTTGCGGCCCGAAGATGCGTTGTTCCCCGCGCCTACTCTACTCCTGTAGTCTAGTAGTAGTAGTAGCTACTCAGTTAGCAGCTACTAGTATAGTACTAGCTAACTCCCAGGACCGTCGGAGCTAATAGTAATGTAATCATGACTCATCTGTTCTCGTAATTATATCTAAGCTTACTATAATGCCGACCCTCACCATCACTACCCTATTATATTGATATACTATTATCTTTAGATTGCTGTAACTGCCTTGGTTTTCTGGCCCTTGCCTACCTTGGGGCCCCTTATACGATATTGGGCGGCCATGTTTCTATCCTTGCCCACTCGTCCTCCTAGAGCTACTATCGACTAGCAGAATCGCTCTGTTGGCTAGGGTTAGACTAACCCCTCGGCTATACTCGCCCGCAGCTTGCGCGTTTCACTAAAATATCATGCTTGACCTACTAGAACTCTCTTTCCTCCGCACTTGTTCTGCTTTCTCGTATAGGCGCTACTCTCTTTCCAGCAGGTTGCGCGGTGCCAAGGCTATCTATAGACTAGGACTGCTCCCCCCTCGATTCGCCATTGCGTGACTACGCTAAGCCGAGCGGTGCGAGCGAGTGCCCGTCTCTGGCTATAGGCGGCGGCCGGGCGGCCACTGCGTCTTTCCACTCGGGGCGTACGAGCCTCGCCATTGAACGTTGCAAGAAAACACGTTGGCAGCGTTGGGGCGCGACCGCGCGCCGGTCGGTGTTTCGTGATTCTGACCGCCGTTTCCATTACTGAGGGCAAGGTTCGCGAATTTGTCAGAATTTCGACAGTCCTTATCTGTGCTTCGCGTCCCACAGGCTCGGGTCCGCCCCGATCCTCGGTTCAGTTTTTCTAGCCCGTCCAACACTGTTGACGTCCCAAATGTCTCCCCTGTTGTCCCCCACTCAAATTGCGGACTGTTCGTCTGGCAGCTATGGATCCGTGCGCCCGCCATCTCCTTCGGCGGGGGGCCCGGATCCATAGAATGCCCGCGCTGCCTACATGTCGTAGGCCGTTGCCGGCGGGTCGCGTGCGCCTTCGGCGGGCACTGCGGCGCAATCGCTAAGTTTTGAGTTAAGGTAATTTATGAAGCCGCTGATAGATGTTGATCGTGTTGATGTTGTTTTGGCTCGTCTTGAATGGCCTCCTCTTCGTGTCCGCTATCTTCATTCAAAACTCATAACTTTCTATAAAATTTATCATGGTGAGATGAAAATTGGCATTCCCTCTTGCATTTTCAATTTAGCTTCTTTGTCTCTGTGATTCCTTATTGGAATTCACTGCCTTCATCCTTAGTATAGTAAATAGCAAGTTTACAACCTTTTCCGCTGCTATCCGCAGTGTGGATCTACCAACTTGATCTACTTCTCTCTCCATCTTCGTTATAACTTATAGTCCCCATGACTTTTGAAGATTAACACTTATGAGGTTATGAGGTTAAGCCGCCACCGGCCAGTACCAAGTACCATCCTAGATGAACATTGAATAGATTTATTAGTATGTCTGATGATGGTACCTTATTCAGTGATCGAGTGTCCTGTTTCAGTGTTTGGTAGGTACACTACACGTCTAAAGTCTACACCGTACCGCGTGCGTTTTAAGCCAAGCTATATCTCTTGTATATATATATATAGCAATATATATAGCTATATCTCTTGTATTCTACAAACCAAGATTACGAACATGTTTCTCACCACTTCACTTATTCGTCACTAATATTGCGCTGGCCATGGCATATATTTTGTATCGAATATGGAATGCGTACGTATTAACTAGTATTATGGCACATATCAGCCCGCAGCCACCACCCTTCGCCATCTTTACGAGTAAAGTTTGTTTACACAACCTAGATATGTAAACACAGGTATATGTGTATTATATATGATAGGTGTGTCTGTCTCTGTGTATCTGGAAGGTAGCTCAAACTCGAGACTCCCAATGTTGGGCCAACGTCGGCTGCCCTACGTTGTAGTACTGTACCAACGTTAGCGCGCTGAGCAAAAATTCATTGGGCCAATGTTGGCATGTCCTGAAGTAAGCCGTTGGCGCAACGTTGGCCCACTGGCTGCATGCTATCTGCATTACTATTGAGCCAAAAGTGCTCCAGGATTAGTGTTTGATAATAGTTTAATACCTACGACACTGAGCGCAATGTTTTCTAACTAGCTTGCTGACAGACCTAATCAGTAAATGTGTATGTGGGGAGGTAGGGTGGAAGAACGAATACCAAACTGGCTGTTTTATAAATATATATGCACAAGAGATTGTATACTCACACTCAGCAATTTCCTATGTTACCACGTAACATCCATATCCACCTAACCACAAAGTATTCTTACCCTCCCACGAAAAGGAGTAGTCAAGTGATACGTGTGTTCGTGGGGAGGTCGATGTCACAGAGTCAGATGCTGCACACGACTGCACGTGGTAACAGCCAGGATGTGGCGGAGAAAGGCAGCGTTCTTACACGGTCGTACGTCGCAGCGACGACGCGTGCCTACCCTAAATTAATTAGGTTCTCTTTCTTACTCCCAGGTCTCGTTAGGACATGGCGGACGTTAGCGAGCAGCCGGAAGCTGAAGCTCCTGACGCCACGGCAACGGACGAGGATGCTGATGGCGATGCTACAGACGCGTTTGGCGTACCTGGGTAAGCGACTCGCACGGAAGCTGCAGCATGTAGAGGATGTGGGCTGTGCACTCGCTAAGTAGCCAGAGTCATAGATTTACAATGATCTGTAGGTGGACACCATGACGTGAGTTCGATCGTCGTTCCTTTTTCTAATCTAGTTCTGCCAAGAAGGAGCGCGCGCGATAACCGCTATAACGAGATCCCTTTTCGAATTTAGTTACTGTATACGCTGTATATTTCGCCGTGGTTTAATTTTCGCGAATTTCGCGAACACATCCCCGACCGCGAAAATAACAACACGCGAATAATTCATAATTCACCGACCGCGAAATTAAACACTCGCGAAATTGTCAGTCAATTCTGAATTCGTGAAAATATCTGTACGCAAAAAATATGGCATATACAGTAATCGTCTTCGCGTCGTCGTTTCAGGAGCGTGTGGGCGGCGGGCGGCGCGTCTGCGCGGACGGAGATACCGCTGGACGACGCTTACCGGATGGACCACCCGCGCCGCGGCCGCGCCATCATCATCAACAACAAGCTGTTCCATCCGCGCACGCAGATGAGCGAGCGCAGCGGTGAGCATTGTCGTCGTCGTCAGTTTCAGACTTTGAAACGCAAGCGCGTCGGAGCTTTGGTTCCGGGGCGCGTTTCACTAACGTCCGTTCGCTATTTCTTCTACGCTATTTCCCGAGTTGTTCGCTAAATAGCGGAGGACGCATATCACGCACGTCCGTTCGCTAAAGTCGCTCGTTATTTTTTATTTATGAGCGTCGTCGTTGTCGCCGCGCCGGAGATTCGGCGATACGCTGCATTTTTCGCGGGAGGCGGCCGCAGTTTCGGGAGTTCACGTGCTCTCGGTTTTTGAAACGCCAAATAATTATGAAGACAATGATGATGATGATGATCATTGTCGTTTTTGCGTCCGTCGCCAGTGATTCGCGGCATTTATCGCAGAAGGCATCTGCAGTTTCAGACTTTGAAACACTTGTAAAGTTGTAAAGTTGTAAGCACATCGGAGCTTCGGTTCTGGTCAGAGTTTCATTGTCGCGGCGTCGTGTTTTGGCGGCGGCCATTGTAAACGTTTGAAAAAGGAAAAAAGGAAATCATTTTTCTGAGCGAGATTTCACAGTAAAATGATAAATAACAAAAAATAGTGAAAAACAATTTGGTTTTATTTACTCCTGTTATCATCATTATTACCATCATCATCATCGTCGTCGTCGTTGTCATCAGCGCATTCGTGTGCCTGCAGAGAGGCAGCCCGAAGCCATAACTCATCTCCCAGCTTCTTGCCGTCGTTTTCAGGCACGGACACGGACGCTAGCAGCCTCTACGTTCAGCTGAGCAAGCTGGGATTTGACGTGTCGCGATACGACAACCTCAGGGCCAAGGAAATGGTGCGCGTGATGGAGGCAGGTAGGTAGGCGTGGCCATTAATTAGGTACCTAGGTGTTAGCTGCGGGAAGTGTAGTACTGTGTGGGGGTAGGTGTGGCTCAAAGGACATCTTAGAGCTTCTCAATGACGACCCTGCCAAAGTGCTAAAGTTCCTTGAGAGGATAGGCCGCCTGGTCGCACCTGAACTGTGATGCTCCACATCACAGCCACTGGGAGCGCAGACTACAGAGAGAGAGAGCTGCGGGAGGTAGGGTGGGCAATTGAGTAGTGGGTGGGTAGAGGTGGGTAGAGGTTGGCAGACAGGCAGTCAAGCCAGCAGGCAGTTAGAATGGCAGCCAGGCAGGATGGTAGGTAGGCAAGCAATCAGCCAGGCATTTAGTCAGATAGACGGTTAGGCAGGCAGGTGGGAGGGCAGCCAGGCAGGCAGGCAGGTAAGTAGGTGTAGTACTAGTGCGGTGTACGTCCCACGGCGGGCAATCAAGACGGGGGAAAAAAAAAACAATCGAGCTAAAACCCGTCGTCTCACTCTCTCTGTCACGCTCTCTCACTCTCTCTCTCTCTCTCTCACTCTCACTCTTTCTCTCTCTCTCACTCTCTCCCTCTCCTGCAGCCGCGCGCGAGGACCACACGGACGCAGACTGCTTCGCGGCGGCCATCTTGAGCCATGGCGAGGAGGGAGTGGTGTTCGGTGCGGACGGGGAGGTGGGCATCGACGCGCTCACCGCGCCCTTCAAGGGTCCGCGCTGCAAGTCGCTCGTCGGCAAACCAAAGATCTTCATCATACAGGTGAGCGGGCACAGGGTGTGAGTGGGCGGGGCTGCCGACAAGGGTGATCGGTGGGTGTGTGTAGTTTGAAAATATATTTTCTTCTAACTTTAATAACTTTTCGTACTAAAAATGTAGCACATACTTGTGGCAGAGCACAGTGTAAGCGTGCGTGCTGTGGCTATATAAGAGCAACAAAAAGGGGGTCCAACGACTCATCGTGTTATATCCAAATTCGCGTTAAATCGGGGTTATATATACACATATATATATAATGTGTGTGTGTGTGTGTGTGAATATATATATATATATATATATATATATATATTAATGTGTCTGTATGTGTATGTGTAGGCGTGCCGCGGCACGGAGCTGGACCACGGCGTGGACGCGTCGGACGCGGAGAGCGGCGGCCGGGATGAGGATGAGGCAGACGCCGTCGCCGTGCAACGCATCCCCGTCGAAGCCGACTTCCTCACTGAGGGGGGGGGGGGGGGGGGCTTACTTCCGTCGTAAAAGGTACGCCATATATTCATTATGTTCCTACCTGTTATTCATGTATGTACCTGTTATTCATGTATGTACCTGTTATTCATGTATGTACCTGTTATTCATGTATGTACCTGTTATTCATGTATGTTATCTCTATTCAGCTGTATGTACCCGTATCTTCATGTATGTACGCTGTTATTCTGCATTGTATGTACTTCTGTTATTCGTCCTCATGTATGTACCCGTTATTCACGTTCCTACATGTTCCACTTGTTTTCTCCTCGCAGGTTAATACTCATGTCTGTGTGTTTCTTATTTATTCTTCATGTAACTACATGTTCCTTAGTTCATTCATGTTCCACACATTCCTTCTCACATGGAACTACTCATGTCTGTGTGTTCCTATCTACTCTACATGTACCTGTCTAATCTTCATGTTCATACATGTTCCACACGTTCCTTACCCGCAGGTTACTACTCCTGGAGGAACTCATGTCTGTGTGTTCCTATCTAATCTTCATGTTCCACACGCTTCCTACCCGCAGGTTACTACTCCTGGAGGAACTCATGTGTGTGTGTTCCCACATGTTCTCTATGTACCTACATGTTCGACCCGTTCCTCCCCGCAGGCTACTACTCCTGGAGGAACTCGGCGCGCGGCTCCTGGTTTGTGCAGTGCCTGTGCCGCGCGCTCGAGCGATTCGCCGGCAAGATGGAGTTCTGTCGTCTGCTGACGCGCGTCAACAAGATGGTCTCGTACGAGCACGAGTCGAACGCGAGCTCGGCGTCCATGAACCGCAAGAAGCAGGTTCCCTGCATCTCGTCAATGCTCACGCGCGACCTCTACCTCCCACCGAGGCAGTGAGGAGGACTGCGGGGGGGAGGGGGCGGGGATGGAGCGATGTCATGAGGTGACGACAGTCGTCGTGTGGTATGGTGGATGTTGCATGAACGTGGAGGGATGCCGCATTTATGTGGCATGTGGATGCGAAACGATGCTGCTTAAATGCTAAAGGGTATCGCGTGAACACAGAGTGATGCTGTGCGGAGAGCTAACTGATGTTTGTGTGTCTGTCAGGAGTGTGATCGCACAGATGTAGGAGTATTGGTAGCAATTGTGATATAGGAATCGGCAGTCGATGAACGCACCGCCTCATACGTAGCAGCGTTGAATTGTTTCTGTTTTCGTGCTGTGAGGTTGCGAGCGTTGGTGCAGACAGTGAATAAACAAAACACACTCGTCTGTCTAGTGAAGTGAGGTCACACGCTCAAGCTGCGGGCTCTCTATGCAATGGTCTGTGATGCACGGCAAGTGGCGACACCTATTGGAATTTTTAAGCACCGTTGTGTGATGTAAATGAAAAGAGCGGTTGACTCGTAGTTTCCCCATCTGTTTCTACGCTTATGGAAACAGATGGGTTTCTATCTAGTTCTATGGTTATGGAAATGGATAGCTTTTCTATCAAATGCTACGGTTATTGAAACAGATAGCCTTCGGAGTTTATGCTACGGTTTTGGAAATAGGTTTCCTGTCTATTTCTATGGTTTACGAAAATGGATAGGTTCTGTATCTATTTCTCTGGTTATAGCGATAGATAGGTTTGCTATCTAATTCTTGTGGTTTGACTTGTGATGACGTCATTGTCCCTGTGATGCAGGGATGTTTACTGCTGGAAATAGATCGAGCAGAAATCAGGTTGTGGAGTCGGCGGCACGTGTATTTTTAAAAATTTTAAAAAAAAACTAATTTTTTAAAACATCACGGAGAGTGTGTTTCCGTGCGAGTCTCGTTTTTTGCCGGGACTGTTTTTTTAATACGACTGGTAAACTACGTTGCGTGAAACGGTGGTTGTTGATCAGTGGTTATTTTATTCTCACTAACGTTATCACAAGCGCGCACAACATGTATTTTTCCCGCGAAAAAACACGTAGGAAATCGTTGTTGATTTTACGGGGGTGTGGCGTGGATGGTATGAATTTGTTTGAATATTCAGCGGTATTTAACTTTATATAGCTGAATTTAGCTGTATTTAGCTGAATTTAACTGTATTTCTAAAAAGCGTACAGCATCTGTTCACGCCCACCCTTCTTCCCTTCCTCGTCACAGCGTGGCATTAGGGTGTGGACGCTTGTGGTGATGTTGACGATAGCGAACGGGTTCCTCGCGCGTATACTTACACGTGCGGCGATATCTCGATCAGCGATCGAAAACGCCGCGTGAGTTCGCGATCTTAATTAATTACCCGAATAACGCGATTAATTTACGCCAATGATCTCAGGTTTATTTTGCGATGGCCTCGTCGATGGGAAATAAACAGCACAGCATGTTCGATGCAGGTCCGGTTAATCTATGCAGACCTGCTAGATGCTGCTTATGTTGTATATAGACATGTATATATATATATATGTATATATATATATATATATATTATATATATATATATGTGTGTGTGTCGGCTAGTCATTGATCATTGAAGTTCACAGTGTTAGTGATTGATCTGTCTTGTAACCCATCAGGGCATTTACTCGTGTCGCTCGCGTGTCGATGCGGTACTTAAAAAATCAAACATGTTTGTAAAAACCAGGGGCGTGGCTATTTCAGGAGGTGGTGGAGGGAGGGTGAAGCCTCGTGCGGCTTGTGTTCTTGGCAGTTGACCTTGGGCAGTTCGGCATTGACGTGTAATAGTATCTAGATTAGTCTGGAGGGGCAAACGCCTCCCGGCCCTCCGCCACAAGCTACGACCTGAAAATTTCATAATTCGTTAATTATTAATATATTTAATTTCAATAATGAGTATTAATTATTTGATTGTATGTCAAATACGTCTCGCCTAGCGAACTGATGTGTTGTCGTGCACAGAAAGTCATCGTCGTGACGTTTTAGACTCGTGGGTGTCCATTTATGATGTTTGAGACAGTGTGCCCCCTGATCTCTCTACACTAACTAGCTGATATTAATATATAATTATAACTAGTTAGTATATAGAGATCAGTGCAGCACGCCCCCTGGTGTCACACAGTATTCACACACCTTGCCCAACACTCCCTCTATCTTCTATACGCTGAGCCGAACTCTTGCCATCGATTGTGGTCTATTGAAATTATATCGATATGTAATCAATATTATTTTAATTTATGCAGTGATTGCGGTGGGAAGCGGTTATAGGAATAGGTTTTACCGTTGCACTAGGGAATTAAGCACGGTTTCTTGTAATGTGTGCTGTATAAAATTAAATGATTGCAATAAACGAGCGTGAGGCATTTTGTGAAATTAATCATGTTTGAGATGTTGGTGTGTTTCGTACATGTGGTTTATTCGCACTGTCGTTCAGTTATATATCAGCAGGGGTTAGTAATGACAAAATTATTTAACAATAACAATTGTCATTATCAGAGGCGCAAATCCAGTTTAAAAAGTGGGGGGGGTACAGACGTGGTTCAAGAGTGTGCGAGGAGTGAAGCGACCGAAGAGGAGGGCGTCTCCCCTTCCCACGGTAAGAACTTTTTCGTATTTTTGATCTCTAAAAGGGTCGTAGTAAGTATCAACTATTGTTTGTATCGTGTTTACATGCCATAAACTAGCTCCCAGCGGGCAAAAGACGTTGAAACAACGTCGACAATCGACGTTGAAACGACGTTGAAAAATGTCTGGATTTGCAATTTTATTCAACGTTACTATCTAAATATTATATTTTATCGACGGGTTACAAAGGGGAAGTGACGTCACTCCGCCCCCACCTAATATACGGTCGCGGTTCCTATATTCAGTTTAGGCTATTATATATATATTGATATATATCAATCAGGAGTCTTTTTTATACTTTCTATTTTTTTCACTTAGTGTAGTGGAGACAAGCACAAAATAATAATATTATAGAAGGGGCTTATAATTATGCCGAACCACATGCATGTTCAAAAACCTGAGGGGGGGACATTTGATAGTGTGTCCCCAACCCTTCAAAAGTAGTGGGGGACGTGTCCCCCGCGCCCCCATGGCATTTGCGTCCATGACAGTATGGACTGAGGAATACTGCATAATATAGCTTGCTATTAGAGAAGGAGGGTTGAAAGACTGAGGAAAGGTGGCAGGAAAGAAAGCTGACGGTGGTAAAAAATAATGAGACTGAGCGAGGAACAGAGAGGGAGGCAAGGAAAGTACAGGGGCGGATGAATTAGTAGTTTTGCTTTCCACAGGATAGGGCGCTCTCCCAATCATAAACACAGGTCTACTGATAACAATTTATTTCATAAATCTATGCTGAGATATTCCCTAATCATTTTAAATGAATATCCATCACAAAATATAACTCTTCTGGTGAGATATTGCGCATGCGCTAACACACTAACGTAGCCAAATTGCGTACTGACTGGTATATGCAATGAGCATCTTACATGCAAAGTCTTCTTCCTATATCTCAAGAGAGGTATACTTGTTTAATATTATTATAGAAATCTATGCTAGAATACCTCCTCCCTATTCTAAGTGCATAATTTTTGCAAAATATTATTCTTATCGTGAGATATTGCGCATGCGCGATCACCGTTTCAGACGTGCAATATGGCCTGAAGAATACTGCATAATATAGCTGGCTAAGAGAGAAAGAAGGTTGGGAGACTGAGGAAAGGCGGCAGGGAAGAAAGTTGAGGGCGGTAAAAAAGAATGAGGCTGAGCGAGGAACAGAGGGGGAGGCAAGGGAAGGACAGAAAGGGATGAATTAGTAGTTTTGCTTTCCACAGGCTAGAGCACTCTCCCAATCATAAACACAGGTCTACTGATAACAATTTATTTCATAAATCTATGCTGAGATACCCCCTAACTATTTTAAATGCATATCCATCACAAAATATAACTCTTCTGGTGAGATATTGCGCATGCGCTAACACACTAACGTAGCCAAATTGTGTACTGACTGATATATGCAACGAGCATCTTACATGCAAAGTCTTCTTCCTATATCTCAAGAGAGGTATACTTGTTTAATATTATTATAGAAATCTATGCTAGAATACCTCCTCCCTATTCTAAGTGCATAATTTTTGCAAAATATTATTCTTATCGTGAGATATTGCGCATGCGCGATCACCGTTTCAGACGTGCAATATGGCCTGAAGAATACTGCATAATATAGCTGGCTAAGAGAGAAAGAGGGTAGGAAGACTGAGGGAAGGCGGCAGGGAAGAAAGCTGAGGGCGGTAAAAAAGAATGAGGCTGAGCGAGGGATAGAGGGGTAGGCAAGGGTAGGACAGAAGGGGATAAATTAGTAGTTTTTCTCCCCACAGGCTAGGGCGCTCTCCCAATCATAAACACAGGTCTACTGATAACAATTTATTTCATAAATCTATGCTGAGATATTCCCTAACCATTTTAAATGCATATCCATCACAAAATATAACTCCTCTGATGAGATATTGCGCATGCGCTAACACATGCACTAACGTAGCCAAATTGTGCACTGACTGGTATATGCAGCGGGCACCTTAAATGCGAGTTCTTCGTACTATTTCTCAAGAGAGGTTGTCACAAGTGACAGAGTTTATACACGCGGCATGACCTAAATATATGCCATAGATGATTCGTACGCGCGATAGCTGGCGAGAGTGAGACATGCGGGAGAGGTCAGACGGCCTGTAGTTTTTGTCTGGAATAGACGTGTGAAGGTTGTGTCTTATGTAGACGTGTAAAGATTGTGTCTGATGTAGACGTGTAAAGATTGTGTCTGATGTAGACGTGTAAAGATTGTGTCTGATGTAGACGTGTAAAGATTGTGTCTGATGTAGACGTGTAAAGATTGTGTCTGATGTAGACGAGTGAAGTTACTATTTGAGACGGACCGGTTGAGTTGAGTCTGTGAGAGAGACGTGCGGCCGGAAAAGGGGCCGAAGTTTGTGTTTGAGAGACACGTGTGGCTGGAGAATAGGAGGAAGAAGAAGAAGCTGAAGAAGAGGAGAAGGGGCCGAAGTTTGTGTTTGAGAGACACGTGTGGCTGCCTGGCTGGAGAATAGGAGAAAGAAAAAGAAGCTGACGAAGAGGAGAAGCAGCAAAAAAGAAGCGGAAAAGGAAGAAGAAGAAGAGGAAGGAAGAAGAAGAAGAAGAAGAAGAAGCCGAAGAAGAAGCGGGAGAAGAAGAAGAAGACGAGGCCGAGGAAACAAGGAGAACCC